CTCGCCCACGTCTTCACACGTCGGCCCGCGGCGTCTCACTTTCAGTTCCTGCTGCAGCTCGCTCTGATCACACCTACAGACTCACAGCTGCAGCTCAGTCACATCCTCTGCTCTGATTGGTCAGCCGCTATCTGACCGACAGCTTCACCAGTTTTCTGTTGTTCACATGAATCCGTAAATCTGCTGACAGCAGCAGGGACGCACCGATCCGACGCTTCACCCACGAAAAACTGGCTTCAGGTGTTCCTCGCCGGGAGGCAGAGAGCGAGCGTCGCCTACAGCAGCTGAAACACTCGCTGCAGGCTTCACGTCTAATTCTACGGTTTGTGCTTTGTGAGCTTTTATTTTTTAAAGACCGGATTCTTCCAATCGCCAGTCGCTCCGATCCGGGATCTGTGGTCAGTGTTTAAAAAGCAGAAGCCCACAAACTGTGACGATCCGGGAAAAATCTCCATCAGCCAGGATTTGTCCCAGAAACTGATCGAGCACGAAGACGGCTCATCGCTGCTGACGCTTTAAATACATTTACTTAAAGTTCTGGAAAGTCCTAAAGTGTCTGAGTGAGCTTCATGATGCCAGAACATAATCTGAATAAAAGCCGAAGGTAAAATCTAAAACACGGCCCGTTGTTACACGACAGGAACTGTTTCAGGTTATGAAACTGGCTGATAAGGCAGGGGTGGGCAACTTTAGCGTGCTCTCTGCTGCGCCAGCTGCTAAGGAGAGTAAACACAGAACACCTGAAACGGCTTCAGCTGCCTGAAACATCAGACCGGTGCATCCCTGCAAAGTGACGTCATCGGTCATACATCCAGCTTTCATTCGATGACTCTGATTGGCTGCTGTGTCTGAGCATTTCTGCCCGGTCATTCCGCTCTATCTTAACGGCGTCCATTCCCGAAGCGCCCAATCAGGCGTTAGCCACAAAGCACATGTCCTTCTTCATGTGAATCTGCAGGCCGCTGGCGCTGGTGAAGGTCTTGGCGCACTGCGCGCAGCGGTATGGTTTCTCTCCCGAGTGCGTGCGCTTGTGCTTCTTCATGGTGTCGCCGTCGCTGAAGGTGCGGCAGCAGAACGGGCAGCTGTACGGCCGCTCGCCCGTGTGGATGCGCAGGTGACGCCGCAGGTTTCCTCTCTGGCTGAAGCTCTTGGAGCAGAAGGTGCAGCGGTGCGGCCGCTCCCCTGTGTGCGTGCGCAGGTGACGCCGCAGGTCCGCCGACTGCGCAAACGACTTGCAGCACCAGTCGCAGGCGTAGGTCTTCCTCTTCTGCTCCAGGTGGAGGCGGAGGCTGGCGGCCTGTCCGAAGGCCTCACCGCAACGCGGGCAGCGATGGACAAGTTCGGGGATGAAAGCGGAGGCTGTGCTGTCTCCGGCTGCCGGCTTCTCCTGGGAGGACTTCCTGCTCCGCTCAGCTTCCTGCCTCTCAGCGCGCACCACCACCACCGTCCTCTCCGCCTCCGCCCTGCTCCAGAACTCTTCGGCGGCACCGTTTGCGGCCTCGGTCAGAGAGTCCGTGCGACCTTTGGGCTTGCTCACGCTGTACTCCTCTGGTTCGGCTTTGATGAGTGCGGGGGGCGGAGCCCGGGGCTCCTCCCTGAGCACTGCAGGAACTTCAATGTGAATTTTGGGGACGGAGACAGTGGGAGGGTTTAGGGAGGAGTGCGAGGTGACAGGTGAAGTTTTCCCAAACGCTTCCTGTAGACGGTCAGGCTTTGGTGCCACGTCCCGCAGCTCCAAGAGCTTCTTCTCCACAGGCAGGTGCACCGGCCCC